TATACAACTATGTACTGGGGGGCTTTGGGGAGAAGAAAAAGGAAAAAGAAAGGATGGCAACAGATGTTAGCTCAGGGCCAGTCTTAAAAAAAAAAAGAGAGAAAATGTGAGGTATCTGTTCAAGCCACCACTGGCCAGTAAACTAGCTACATTGTAGTCCATGATCAAGTTCAGGTCTTAATCTGGGGTACTTTCTTTATGCATATATACACTCAATATACTAAATTTTAATTTTTTTGATTAGAAACAATACATATTCACTGTAGAAAATCTAGAAAACATTAAAGAATGCAAAGAAAAGAAAAATCACCTAAGTAATGCTTTTTTGTGTGTGTTTACTAGTACATTTTCAGATGTCATTAAATATTTTGACATATTACCCATAATCCAACAATTCACAAATAACCACATTGACAGTTAGTGTAGTACTTCCTCAGTACAAGGATTTATGCATCTGTGCTGCAAAAACACTATCCACATGCTACAATTCCTAGATGTCTGTTTCCATGACTTTTCAGCAAAAGCCAGAAGAGTCCCTCAGAAGCTGAAAATATCAGCACCCTATCTTTCCAGCCTTAAGTTTAGTGCAGAAAGGGATTTAAGAGCTCCACATCTACTACCAAGGGAGTTGTTAGGACATTATGTCTGATCTCCATTCAAATACTGTTACAGTTCAAACTCTGTTACAAATGCCATTGGAGTGATATCAACCTTATCCTTTTCAAGGACAGAAGAATACTGTTGCAGTATTGATGAATTTATCAGGGCATCGCTATGAATAAAGTTAAGAGTCTGATTATTTCTTTATGACTTTTTTTCCCCTACATAACATGATGTAAAGATATCTGCTGTATTAAACTGTGATTCTGGAAGTATCCAACCAACAGGTGTTGGTTATAACCAAAATGAGAAACCGCATCAGGATGGTGCCAACAATGGAGAGCAGAAAGCAAGCACAATAGTTGTCATCATAAGCATTTTATCATCCTTCTATGAATTAAGTGGACTAGATTATTAGAGATTATTGTTACCGTAGATTACTGTGCAAGTTACTCCCTCCTCCACTCCTTCTATGGGCAGAGTGTACTTTCCTGCCCCTTGACTTTGGGCTTGACCATATGACTTGCTCTGACTAATGGAATATTAGCAAGTGTGGTACAACCAATGATTGAAAGGCACTTGAACAACTGGGTTTGCTCTCTCGTGCCTTGCTGTAGCTATGAGAAGAGCTGTGCCTGGGAAGTCATTGCCTCTTTAGTCCGAGTCCCGGAATAACATGTAGAACTGTCCCGAGAGAGCAGCAAAGTCCAGAGTTATCTAACTAAGCCCAGTCTAAATCATCTGATACTAAGCAAATCCACATATTCATGGCAATAAATATCTATGATCGTACATCATGACATTTTGTGGTTCTTTATTACTCAGCAATAGCTAACTGATACAATGATACTGTGATAACTATAAAATCTTACTCCATTTCCTCAGTAATTCAAACGATCAGAAAATCTATATGTAAGTCTGGACAGTAACTCTTCCACTCCAGCCACCACCTGACTAACAAAGAAATATGCTATCATATTCCATTATTTCTCTGCTCTTCAAGGATGAAATATAGCATAAGCGAGGGTCTTGAGTCAGACTACCTGGGTTTGATCTCAGGCTCCTTGCCACCAGGGTGATTTTGCATAAGTTACTTAACCTCTCTGGAATCAGTTCCCTCATGTGAAAATGGAATAACAACAGTACTGAATCTATTTCACAGGATTATTGGGAGGATTAAATGAAATAATATATGCAAATAATTTAGAACAGCATATAGTAAACACTAAACAAATAAATGATAGCTGTTAGCTGTTATTCATGGCTGACTATATTTTAAAAAACAAACAAAAATTTTAAAAAATCAACTCTCCTACTTTACTGTGCTTATCCTGTTATTGACACAGTCAGGTCAGGTCATGTCATACACCTGGGAATGGGAAGGCAAGTACACCCTGAAGGGAGAGCCAAATCTCAGGAAGGACCAAGGCCTCAGCATGAAATTCCAACTCAAAAGGTTCATCTTAGGAAGGCAGGAATTCTCTCTCAGCTCTGTGGCTTTTGCTCCCTTGCTCCCCACCCCGACTCTCGTCACATATGAAGGCAATCCAGGAACTATGATGGTAATGCCTCAGAGAACGTAAATCACATTTTTAGTTCAACATTACTCTCATATCTATTCCACTGTTATTATCTCTGAGTCTTCTGTAAAATGTTCTAGCTATGTTTCAGTCAGGCTTTGGGAAACTAAATGGAATTATCCAGAGATTCCCCAAGTACAAGGTGAATCTTGTGTAATACTAGTTGAAACAATAAGATCCCACGAACCTTTCCCATAGAGATTTTTTCCCCCTCCATCACCAATTTTAGGATGCTGGGATTGGTCTAAGGAAAGAAGCAGTTTTCTTTATAGTGACCAAGTTGTTAAATATTAGTAAAAATTTTCTATTTCATCCTCAATGAATTCTTATTATACATATTAGAAAGCACTTCCATGCTGTATTAAAATGCCGTGAGAAAGCACACGGGATTTTAAAATATTTTAATACCACAAAGATTCTTCTTCTTTCTTCATTCTCATTCTTTCTTTTTTTATCGTAATGCCACAAACGTATCTACACATGATCAAGATCTTACATAGTGTCCCATCTCCCTTTAGCAAGGGAAAACATTCTTATTTGATTCTTTTCTTTTAAGATTTAAACAATATACAAATAATAAAGAGTAACATGAGGTCTCTTTTGAAACTTCACTTTCTAATTTAGCAATAAAAAATTTCTGACAATCATTCAAAGTACAAGAATTTTTATTCCACATCTAATAATTCACTTCCAATATCTATTATATACATCTATTACAAACGTGAATCAAGAAAATTAGCAAAAAGAATTATCACTAATTTGTAATTTTATACCCCAATATCCATATAAGAATATCCAGAGGGGCCCGGTGGCGCAGCGGTTAAGTGCGCACGTTCTGCTTCAGCGGCCTGGGGTTCCCTGGTTCGTATCTCGGGTGCGGACATGGCACCACTTGGCACGCCATGCTGTGGTAGGCGTTCCACATATAAAGTAGAGGAAGATGGGCATGGATGTTAGCTCAGGACCAGCCTTCCTCAGCAAAAAGAGAAGGATTGACAGCAGTTAGCTCAGGACTAACCTTCCTCAAAAAAAACAAAAACAAAGACTATCCAGAAAAGAACCTGAACACTAATTTAAATTGAGAACAGGTAAGATCTACATAGAAACTCTGACAACTTAAATTAAGAACCAGTTTCAAATGTTCATCCAACCAGCTAGTAATCAACTTCACTGATTTAAAGAAAGGCTCATCACAGTGAAAAATCTGAGTATTTATTTTAAAATATAATTTCTCGCTTTTAGAAACACACACTTCTCAAGCAAATAAGAAAAGTTACTGAATCATATTAATTCACCCAGTATTATCTCTACAGTGACATTAAGGCAAGTCATGCAGGAGATCATGTTAGTTCCTTAACAAGTTAACCTCAAAAAAGAGATGCCTCCAAAGCATTCACTATTATTATCTACAAATCTGGCTGATCCCATTTGTATTTTTAGCCCGAACATCCAACTAGAACAACATCTATAGAAGCCAGTCTCAAAAGGGCATGGCCTCCAGCAACTTCCCCCTCTTTGTTTATGTATGCCACTCTTTTTGTCTACAAGTAGAGATTATTCCCCCTCCCTCTGACTCTGGGCTGGCCTTGACTATCTTCGAGAAAAGCAACATTCTCAGACTTCCGAATTTACGGCTTAAGAGAACTGGCTGATTGGCTTCTATTTCCTGTCTCCTGGAATGCTCCTTCTTAGAACCCAGGCACCATGCTTTAAACAAATCCAAAGACCATGTGGAGAAAGAGGCCCACATAAAGTAGGACTTGAAGGCCTTTAGCACTAGCTGAACTCTCAGCCAGTGGCCAGCCATGTAAGTGGGGCCATTTTGAACATTCTAGCCATACTGGCACCCCAGCCAATACCAAGTGAAAGTGAAAACCCATCAGTCAACCAGAGATTTGAGAGAAATACTAAGTTGTTTTTTAAGCTACTAAGTTTTGGGGTTGTTTGTTACATAGAAAGTTACCTTTTATACTGTTTCACTTATCCATTAACTGGATAAAAAACCATTTTACATGCCCTAAAATTATTTCATCCAAGTTTCAAATGTTTCCCCAGTTCTGATCCTGAGACTATCTTGTGTATTTTTTAAAATAAACCTTAAATTCATCCCTCAACTTGTCTTTCCATCCCCCATATAAATATATCTTTATAAAATGGTGCCTACAGTCCCTCAATCATTTTCATTTCTCTTCTCAGGTCCTCTTCTGGTTCCCATGTATCTTTTCTGAATTATAACTTTGCTGACCAAGGAAGTATTAGGAAAGGTCCTTGAGGACCTCCTAAAACTGAATGAGATTTTAGCATATAGGTTAGTTAATGTAACTACTGCTTTAATATCATTTGCTTCTAGTACATTCCGCTTAAATTATTTTGACAAGTAACCAAGGGTAAACTTTAAGTCTAGACTATGTTTGAATTATGTTCAACTCTGAATTAGTAGTCTCATTAATAAGATTTTACTGTAAAATTCCTAATCAAAGCACTACATTAGTGTGGTAATGAGAAAAATTCATGAAGGAGAAATATCCATTTTATGTTGGCATTTTAAACAAATTTTACATTTTCTTAAACTGGAAATCAGGGCATCCGTACAAAAATTGCCATTCACAATTCACAAGTGAGGGAAGAGGTAAGGCCAAAACAGAGACAAATACTATACAAAAATTTCAATTTGATTAAAAGGATAGCCCTTCCATGTGTACTGTGCATTAATCACTTGGTGCAAGCACAAATGAAATACCTTCCTATCTCAAAATTGACTCTGAGGAAACAGACATGTTATAGCAGGGTAAATGGGACCAAAGGCAAGTTGTGACTTACTCAGATTCATAATAAGACTGTTTCTGAGCTGAGAAAGAATACCAAATCTCTAACTCTCCATTCTCTGCTTCAATTATTAAGGCATCATTCTCGGTGACCCTCTTCCAGTTGGCCTTTTCTCAAACAGCAGCCACAATAACAGGCAAGGTCAAAAACGAAAGCAACTAAAATTAAAGAAAAAATTGGCTTCTCCCTATGGAAGCTGACTCAACATTTAACAATGTGTGGTGCCCTAAAAGCTGCAAACTACTACATGGGCACCTCCATGTCCACTTTAACTCGATCAGGAGACCATTATCAAAACATAGCTCACTGGGACAAAGCAAAGATCAAGTAGTTGAGAATGTTCTTAGGCTGAGGTCTAATGGGGAGTAAAGAAGATGATCTCATAATGTCACTTTATGATCTGTAAATCACACATTATTCCATAAATCTGACAAAAGTGCCAAGATTAGGATTGAGTCAGCCTTTAAATAGGAAAACAAAAATAAGCAGCTGCCACTTTTCTGACTTAAATTTAGAAGCTGGTTGTAGATATAAAGCACCTTCTTACTTCTAAAGTCCAAAAAATTTTCAAAGTTCTCTTCTTAATACTTTAGAATTTAAACATTGCGCAAAAGTTCAAGAAGCTTCTTCAGGCCTAATGGAATTTTGTTTATGATGCACTCCAAATTTGGTTAGGGGTTTCTTTTTCTTTTTCTTTTTTTTGAGGAAGATTAGCCCTGAGCTAACATCTCCTGCCAATCCTCCTCTTTTTGCTGAGGAAGACTGGTGCTGAGCTAACATCTGTGCCCACCTTCCTCTACTTTATATGTGGGACGCCTGCCACAGCATGGCTTGACAAGGGGTGCATACGTAGGTCCACACCTGGGATCCAAACTGGCGAACCCTGGGCCACCAAAGTGGAACGTGCAAAATTAATCATTGCGCCACCGGGCGGGCCCCATGGTTAGATGTTTCTGAAAGCACTAATACAAAATAAAGTTTTAGTAAAAAAAGTATTCTTGTAAATGGGGCAGTTTAAAGCCTAAATTCAATTAGGTTAGTGTCCATATTTATTTATATTTGTTTTGGTATTTCAGGAAAAGACACAAAATAGCAACTATCTAACAAAGAAATAAGATTTAGACTGAAAACTTATAATTACTTCTGAAAAAGCAGGACTAGACCATAAATAATATCAATGCCCCTATGGCCACCTGTTAAGACAGAAGTCTATGTATCCCATCATTCTTTAGCTGTAACCATAAAGTCTGGTTTTACACCTAGGATATCCAAGAACCAACAGATTAAAAACATCAAATATCAGACTATACGAATTTGCCAAACATACACATAGCAAAAGACAAAGCATGATACAAAGTTAAAGAATTAGGTTCCAAAGGATTTAAAAGCATCCACAAAATCCAATCCAAGCTCATACTGTGCTTCAACCTAAAACTGATAAGTAACCACCAATCCTGATATCTCCCATTCTCCACTATCTACATTCCCCCTTTTATCTCCTGAATTTCTCTACAGATTTCATCAGTTCTTATGGGTCTTGGGATTCTAATCTATATGGCCTTTCCTTTCCCAGAAAGTGATACAGCATCTGGCCCCCACATTTTACTATCTCTACAATTTAGCGATATTTTTGTTTTGTTCTCCCTATTAGATAATAGTTTTGCCCCCAATCTCCTTTACCCAGGTTTTCCTGATCACTCAACCTCTTGCTTTTCCTCACCTCGTCCTTACTACAATATTTAGCCTCTCCTGTCAAAATAGAGTATGTATCCCTTTTCTGACATCTGTAATTCTCGCTCATAGTTAATACCCCCTTCCTTTCCCAGAGACTGTCACCATGGCCTTAGGTCCTCATCCCCAGTCCTTATCTTCCTAAATAAGGCCTCTTCCTTTCCAGAGTTTGTCAACATTAGTTTGGCCAAGCTGGGATTGCATCCTGAAGGCAAAGGCTATCTCTCCCCCGTCATTCTACAAGTCTCCCACCAGCCCTGGCTTTCTCTCCGCCACCCCTAGATCCATCAGCATCCAGTCCTGCCCGTTTCCCCCCATCCCTACTTCCAATATCTTTCCTCTCACTATCCCGCGCTCCCCTTCTCCACTCCTGAATGCACCCTCCCCGGGCCTTACCCGTAACAGTGACACCGGTAAGGCCCTGTCAGCGGCCTCACGGCGTCTCTCCTCCGGGCTTCCTCCGCTCTTCAGTAACTGTCCCCACGCCCCTTTCCCTCCAGGGCCCCGCGCGCCGCCCAGATCCCCCTCCCCGATTAAGCTCCCGCTGTCACTTGGCCTCTCATCCACAAGATGGCGGAGCTGCTGCCCCCACCCCCGGGTCCTCTCCTCTATCTCTTCCCGCCTCCCTGGAGCTCCAGTCCCGTCCCGTCCCTTCAGCCGACCCCGCCGCCGGCCTCGGCCCAAGGTCCCGCTGCCCCCTCCTCCGGTGGGCGGGCGACCCAGGCCCGAGCCTCAGCGACGCCGCCAACGCCACTGCCTCCACCGGTCCCCGGCCTGCACCTTCTCCTCACCATAAACTTGAGCGCTTTCTCCTGCAGCACCGCTTCGGCCGGGTCCATAATCGCCAAGGGCCACTGGCTCTGCACTCCGCCGGGGCCGCCCCCTTGGTGCCAGGCCGCAGCCAACGCAGCGCCCGGATCCCGCCTCCTCTTCCTTCCCCCCGCCCTCTCTTACCTTTCGGGCACCGGCAGGGGGGCTAGGGAAGACCGGCTATTCCGTGCGCATGCGTGAGCCCGCTGGCTCAGGGGATTTGTAGTTCTGGAGCTTCTCGCAGCAAAAAGTGAGTCCACGCCACGAACTGCAACTCCCGCAGTTCACTGCGGCAGGGTCGCCGGACCGACGAGCCAAAACTAAACAACTTGCCCGCAAGCAGAGAAAATCAGCTGATGGGAATCGTAGTTTACACCGTCTACGGGAGCGGCACAGCTGTCTCCGTGGTTACCAAGAGACGCCAGTGGCTGCTTGCCTGGCATTTGATATCAAGATGGCGACCAGTGCCTCACCTGTAGCCCAAATACTGAAAGAAACTGTGAGAGGACTCAGAGGTCCTAGGCCCTCCCTAAGTGTAGTTTTAGAGAACTAGACAGCCCCAAATTTCATATTTCTGGCGTCTGCGGGACGGATTTCGACCCAGAGACGCTGGGCCTATGGGCACCTGGCAGGACTTCGCAGATCAGCGCAGAATTTCAAGGTCCTGCTAAGCCGTCGCTCCACATTTCTCCTGAGGACCTTATTTTCCCCCACGGCAAGTCAGGGCCTGGTAGAACTCGCTCAGGAAATTCTCGATGTTTAGCTCTCAGAAAGCATAACCTGCTACTGCTGACCCTGAGATGTGCATTAAGGGTCAAACAAGTACTTTTTAAAAGGCTTCAGTGGTAGAATATAATGGCCATCCGGCATATAAAGCATGTAAGTATTTAGTCTGGCCTTGAAAGGGACAATATGAATTTATTTTGGAAATTGGGTATACTCTAGGTGGAAAAAAACACTAGGGTTGTGCTAAAAGTGATAGGCTTATACAAAATATCTGAATTTATAAAATAAGCTAATTAAGGAAATGCTTTTTCACTTATAGGGAAAATTTCCATTGTAAACTATTTATTCATTCGTTCATTCAACAAACTAAGCATATAACCGTGTGCAGACATCCCAAGAAATGAGGATTCATTAGTGAACATGATAGACCCAGTCTTGTGGAGCTTACAATTCTAGGATGTTAATACTTTGTCATAGTCATCCCTATGTCTACAAAACTCAGCACAATACCTAATATATAATAAGTTTTCAGTTAATAGAAAGTTTTACTTTTTAATTTCCAAAAAAATTCAACACAAGTACAAAATGGAGAAGACTTAAAACTCATTCATATGAAAACTATCCCCAGGTTTTCATAGGACTAAGGCAGTATGTGACACTTGCCAAAAAAGCTAAAGGAGTCCTAGGCAGCTTGAAGAGTAGTGTCTGGGAATAGAGGCTTATGGTCTTATTGAAGTACTTTGTTCAGTTATGAGCACCATGTTCTACAAACATCCTATGCAGGAGCATAGCCAAGGGCAGTATGACCAAGAGAGAAAATATTGGTGGATGCTTACTCTAAAAAAACAGCGCCTAGGAATAACACAACAACTAAATTCAAGTGTTTGAAAGTATTGAGAGGCATATGTATGTAGCTCCTTAGGGCAAACTCGGACCAATGGTGGGATAATAATAATGGTGGTGATGATAATTACAGCTATCACCTCATTAGCTCTTTGTGCCAGGGACTGTATTAAGCATTTTGCTTTCATGATCTCTAATATTCATAGTAACTCTGTAAAACAGGTATTATTATCTCTAATTCGCAGATGAAGTAAATGGAACTGATAGAAGATAAACAACTTGCTCAAGTCATACAGCAAATTACATAGTCAGTATTCTAACTCAAGTCTGCTTGACCCTAAGCCCTGTGCTATTTTCACTGAACCACACTGCAGTGACATAGTACTCAGACTCAGAGCTTTCTGGTAATCAGAGCTGACTTGACAGAGGAATGGACTACCCCATTCCTGAAAACATACACAGGCAAGATGACCATCTGTCAGGGGTATCGTCTAGGGGATTTCAGTTTGGATGGGAGGTTAACATATTTTTTTTTTTAAGATTTTATTTTTTCCTTTTTCTCCCCAAAGCCCTCCAGTACATAGTTGTATATTCTTCGTTGTGGGTCCTTCTAGTTGTGGCATGTGGGACGCTGCCTCAGCGTGGTTTGATGAGCAGTGCCATGTCCACGCCCAGGATTCGAACCAACGAAACACTGAGCCGCCTGCAGCAGAGCGCGCGAACTTAACCACTCGGCCACGGGGCCAGCCCCGGGAGGTTAACATATTTTAAACTCTAAGATGCTATTCTGTTGAGAAGTCATTTGTTTTACTTTGTTACCCATAGAGGAGTATGAAAATATTGACTGATGAGGCTGGCAGTCAATGAAGGTCCTCACTTTTTCCAGTCACGTAAAGGTAAGAATTAGTAAGGCAGATACAAGGAGTTTTTTGTTTAGAAGCCAAACCAGCTAGATAGTTCATATGTATAGGGTTTGAAACTGAGCAGACAGGGGCTAAGTGAGAAACGGTAAATTGTCTCTCTTGAACACTGACCACTATGGTCAAACAAACTGAGAAATCCAACTGTGAATTGCCTATGAAGCCCCTCATATCCAACATAGTTTAGGACAGTTTATTAGACTAGAAGTTAAGAGGCCTGGTTCTAGCTGATCCTTTCTCTAGTTAATTGGTTGAGTTTGGGCGATTAAATGAACCTCTTTTGTCATCTGGAAAACAAAGGTCTCTGCCAACAATAAAATAAGTGCACCTATGAGCCCACTTATGGCTCAGTTGCTCAAGGAGAATACTAAATCATTAGAACCTTTAAAGTTCCACTTTACTGGAAAACTGGATTTCCAGTGTGAGAAATCACAGCTACTACTGGACATAATTTTTTCCCCTAACTTCCTAGTGTAAGACTACAGAATACTCTGACTTATCCTGGTCTATTAGTGTCTGTATCCAGCCAGTAATCTATCAAAATGTCTCTTCCAGCCTCCACCTCCCATGCCAGCCTGTTCCAGACTCCTTTCATCTTTTTTTGCTTAGTTCACTATATTCACCTCCAATCCAGTTCTCTGACTCCAGGCTCTCTCTGTCCACCTCATCTGATAATCTCTTTTAGACTTTGCTTTC